GCTTCTGTAATTGTCTTAAAAAGTAAATAACAGTAAAAGGAGCATGGCTCATATTTATCGCTCTGTCACGTTTGGGTCATTAGTAAAGACAGAAGTTCCCAGCAGTCACTAAATAAATACAGTGTTGTTTGATGCATGTGGAACTCGGTGTGTAATGCAGCATTGTGTAGTCCTACTTTAAAACGTGACACCAAGACAAAAGAGAAAGCTTTCACTAAACTCTGCTGCTTGGGAACATTAAGGTTTCTCATACAGTTGCAGCGGAGAATAAAAGGTGAAATGAACCAAAACTTTGTCAGAGTACACATTTTTCAACAGCAATAAGTTGTAGCTCTCTCTGCAATTAACTGAATTACTCACCTGAAATGTTGTGAAGCTGAATGTAAACATCACTGGTACTGGAGAAAAATCAGCCGGCGTCCAAATAATTACTTACTCCATCCAGTCTGACCAAAGCCGTACATGGTCAAAGGGCGATGGAGAATCTGAAGAGTCTCCATTGACAAAAGGTTACTTTCCAAACAGCTTGCATTCAGGTACAGCTGGGACACAAGGTTTTCCTAAATTTTTAAATAACTCCAAAGTCATTTAAGGATATTTTATTCTCAGATATGGGGACAGTATTATTTATAAAATTCTAATCAACATTTAATGTTTTCAAGTTATTATGTTGTTGTTTTTCATCTAAGAAAAAGGCCAAAAAATCCTTGTCTGAATGCTGCAACCATGTGAAATGGTACCAATATTTTTGTCACGATTGGTTGTATAAATAATTTATCAACATGTGTCCTTTCTCCCCTGCTGCTTAAATCTTTTCAAATGAAAGGTTACCTCAATTCAAAGAGTCGAACGAGAGATGCCAATAGTTGCAGAAGGTGCTATATTTGTCAACAAAGTGAAATAGATTTCGCATTAAAATATACCTTGGTTTGAGCTGTTAACATGTTTAATATGACTCCAAAATGACCACTTAACAGCGTTGAGTGTTGAGGCAGCCTCCTTAATATGTTTCTTACAAACCATCTAGGAAGCAAAGATGTGCAGACTTTTCCACATTAATTAGATAAATCTACACATTTGTCACTTCAATCAAACTTCTTGGGTATTCATTCAGCCATGAAACATAATCGCTGTAAATTATTTTCATTTCATGAATAATGGGAAGTAATCAAAATCACTTCATAATCAACCCCAAGAGAAATGATTTTCTTTGCTGCCACTCAAGTAATTTGTGGGGATGCAAAACAGGAGTTTGTGAGATGGCCAGTAGATGGCAGTCTCTGCTCATGCTGCCGTGTCTCAGTGGTAGCCGCAGCCTCACTATGCCTGGTGATAATAGGATAATAGGCCCTCACTAGCCTGGAGACGTTTAGCTGATAAATATCTTTGGGGAGTCTCTGAAGTGCTCGGTGCAGCTAGATTAGCCACAGGAAAAAGGCTGAAGTTCCATTTCCACTCGAGTAAAATGAAATGAAAAGCCTCGGGGATTTGACTGTGACCCTCTCAGCCCTCACTCCCACTGAGTGATTACTGAAATGTAAGAGGCTAGAGGGCATAGACCACTATTAACAATATTGGGCTGTGCAGCACCGCAGAAATGAAAATCTGATGAGAAAATGTGAATTATTTTCTAATTAACATACAAGCAAATTCTTAATTACCTTCAAATAAATTGCATGTGTTCTTGCAAGAGAGAGCGAGAAACACAATCCACCTTTGTTTTGTACAGTATCATAAAAGGCTAAATGCCAGTGTTGTTGTTTTTAGCATTTAGTGAACAGGAATTCCTTTGGTTCACTTTAGACCTGTATGCATTTTATTGGCTTGTGTGGGATTTGGGCAGGAAACCAGAGCTAATGCCCCCTCTCCCACTTCAAACGGATGCCAGGCACCCTTAAATGTCATGGGGTGGTTAGAGAGTTGAAGAAGGTGGGAGGGTAAGGGGGTGGAGGAGTAGGGGGCTGAAGAGTGAGAAGCTGTGGCTCACAGGACAAAAGGGAGAAATCCAGCCACACCGGACTCCGTTTTGAGCTTATCAGTGTGCACTGGATGTAACTTTACTGAACCCACTAAGCCAAACCAGATGCAGGTTGCTTCGTGCCACTGTGTGTCAGGTACAGAGCTATAGGTCAACCTGAGGCACTTTGCTGGTATGGGAAGATGCCGCTGCATGCCGCTCAAACCTACTGCAGATGTTCCTGATGAGCAAACAGAAGAGCACTGGTGCTCTGCGGTTCATCCTCTGTCACTTAAAGTAGTGGCTCCCAAATCTTTCAGCTTCTGACCCACAAAATAACTGTGGAAGAGATTCATGACGCTGACTGTCTGTTGAGGATATAAGTATTTATACTAGACAAGGGTGCAGTAACAAAAACACAAGCCAATGTAGGCTGTGTGCAAGTTGTTACTCTTCCAGTAAAAATAAATAATTGCCATTATTCCATGAATCTTTTTTTTTTTTCCATGTAGTTCGATTTATGTAGCGGATGTTAAGACCTCACACATGGTTGTTTTCAACCCTGGTTAAAATACTGAAATTGGTTCTGGGAATTATTAACTTACTGATGGTTTTCTGAGGTGACTTTCTGTTTAAATGTTAAGAGTTTATCTTCAATGCAGTTGGTGCATCTTCTCTCCATATAAATTCAAATTAGTAGCAGACTAGCCAGCAGCTCTATAGGTAGGGCCTCTATAAAATCTGTTGTATTATTTTCCATCAGTTTTCTCCCCAAATTACTCTTTTTCTGTTTTTTTTTTTATTTTATTTTGTTTTTGTTGCTGTTCTGAGTTCCACGTTTTCCCAGCCCGTTAAAAGCCAGCTTCCTGTTCTACGCTTTGCGTCGTACAGGGGATCTGGTCCCACAGCTATAAAGAAATGATTACCTGCTTGAGGCACGGACTCTGTTGAAGTTTTAAGCAATTGGATTTGATTTTATCCCCTTGCTAATGTTCGGCCATGATGTCTGTAATGCACCAACTCAATCGTAGAGGAAGCCTTGTTATAAAGCTTACAGCGTGTGCTGTAGACAATCATCACCTACACTGCAATAGAAAAGCATTTAAAGGTCTTCAACTTTTCTCTTGCTCCGACTTTAATTGCTCAATATTTGGAAGCATGGCCAACATGGACTCAATGACTTTGTTCACTTGTCATTGCCAAACTACAATCATAGGTAAATTGCACTTCTACAACAGCGCAGAAATCAACGTGATTGTTCACAATTCCTCCTTGATATGTATCTGTAGCATCTTTTCATTTTCTGATGGACGTTGGTGTTCCAGTGACTTCCTTTCATCATGGCGGATTGTTTTTTCTGTGTGGAGAGGTGAGCTGAGCTCCACCTTAACAGGTAACAATGGGTACCTGGCAAGGTAGTTTCTGGTCTGCAGAAACTACTAAAGAGTGCTTGCTTGCAGATATCTGCGAATTCTATGAGACTGTTGTGAATTTCATTTCCTTAATTAAATTCTGCTAGTCTGTCCGTGTTTCGTCCTTATGGTTTTACCAAGGCCCACTGGTGACTCAGATGGCGAGATCAGTGTCAGTAATATATTGCTTAATGTAGACTTGGTTTTATTATGTATGAAACCATTTTATATGATACTCTTGACATGTCCCGTTTTCAGTACGAGTTTTAATCAGGACGATTATTGGTGGCTTACCGCCTCCAACTTCCATTTCTCCTGTAAATAATCAACAGCTAGCTGCTAGCTCGAGTACTCAGAGATACAATAAATGAAGATCCCAGGAGACCCATCTACTAAGGGTCAGATATTAACTGGTTTTAACATTTTAACAGAACCTCATTTCAAAAATCGTAAACTAACCTTTAATGTCTTGAATGAGATATTTGGGTTTCAACGTGTCCAGTTAAATCCTCACCAGATGGATTTCTTGTGCTTATTAGATTGACAACATGCAATAGTTTTATAGCAGGAATATCAAAGTCTGCGAGTATGTGTTCAGAGGGTTGTGTCGGTCACTGGGAGTCCCTCCGTCTCTTTCTAGTCTTGCCAGAATGAGTGTTTATAGGATTTTAGTCTCATTTTCTCCAGCGTTAATTTGTTTCCATGAAGGTAGCCATGACACATTCTTTCCTTCTCCTCAGCCTTTGTGTGGCTTTATTTTATAGAGTTGGGAATTTCTCTCCATGTCTCTTTGCGCTGAATAGAAGACCAGACTACCTCAGCTGCTTTCACGCTGCTATTTTGACTCTGAGCATGATCATCAATAATTTCTTCCCCTTCTCTTCCTTCCCACAGCGTCTCGCGTCCAAGCCCTGGCATTGAACTGTTGCCGTTTTTAAGTACACTTTTCATTGTATTGTTAAACATCCTGAGGTTTGTTATTATGGTTCGTCTGTGTGAGTGGATAGACAAACATGTTGCAACGTGGAGGAATTCAATTTCCCATGCCTGTAAAGAAGTCTCACATTTCCAGTTTTGCCAGCATGGTACTCCTCCCTCCCTGTGGCTCAGTTTGGCAAGCAGCAAATGCCACCTCTGTCATCATCGGGATTATACGGAGCTCATTTGGCTTTGATTAGAAAACCATTAAAACACAAACGTGTTGGTGACTGACCTGTGACCTTTCTCATCATGGGACAAGCAAAACCAGTTCCTCACTTTTCCTCTCAGGCTCTTTGGACCCCTCGGGGTCTGGGTCAGGGTTTGGTAGTGTTTGTGCTGTCTTTCTGTCAGACATGCATGATCCACTGCCACTTAGTAAGAGCAGGAAGAAAGGGGGCTGATAAATGGGCTACTTCCGGCCCCAAGGGTTTGTTCATGCAATGCAGTGGATTACGTTACGGCTTGCCAACAAAGACCCAACCTCCTTTCATTTAAGAAACACTCTGCTGTGAACAGTATTCGGGAGGATCTAAAGTGTCAAGTTGGCAAGGTGAAAGCTTGCAGAAAGCCTAAGTGTGCTAATCAAGTCGGACTCTTCTTGCAGTCTGTTTGGAAATCGTTGTCCAGAATGCAAGACAGTTTTGTGTCAATATTTACTTTTTTTATTTCCAGCCATTAGTGATGATCCAATCAAAGACAAAGATTGCTGTCCATTCTTCTTTGGAAAATAGTACAACCTCAACCACACTGGATGAAAACATCTATTTGCAATTCTAGTCACAGATTCTCAGTTGGATTTAAATCTTGGCTTTGACTAGGCCATTCTAACTCACAAATATACTTTGGCCAATTCATTCAGAACTGGTCAAAGGCAAATGCGAATTAAGCAGCTCCTTAGGGGCCCAACACCATTAGGCCCCCAAACACATCATTTGATTTTGTTTTGTAGTGACAGATTGCACGTTTGGCTCATTTTAGACACCAATTTTAAAATCAAAAGATATTAAACTTGCTAATTTGTTTACTGTAAATTTGGTGTTTGTCTGCAGATGTTACTTTCTAATAGTTAAATTAATATGCCACGCTTGCATACCTCTCTGCATTTCAATTAGAGCAGCTTTGCTTGTTTGCTACTCTTGAAAAGTTAGAATCAAAACACTGGTATGATGTAAGCTATTTACAAATGACACTGATAGTAATAAGTATGTTACACAAATAGTGTAGCCTAGGTATGATAAAGTATCTGATTTTGACATTTTATGTGGGCCCGTCCCAGTCTAGCTACATGCTTAGAGTCTTGTAAAAGAGGGGAGAACAAAAATACCGGCCACCCTAAGCAGATTTTTGCTTGTGAAATATTTTGGAAATCCTTCATCATTTTTCTTCTACTTCATAATATACACCTGTTTGGCCAATCATATAAAATCCCAATAAAATACATCAAGGATTTGTAGGTCTAGCATGACAAGATGTGGAAATGTTCAAGTGGTATGACTACTTTTCCGATGCTCTGTAAGCCCACTGTTAGATGGCCACAATCTTTCTCTGTGGTGCGGTTTCTGTAGTTACTTCATCCCTTTGAGGCCAGAGTGTTTGGACGTGATCTGGACTTATGTCCGGTTGCTTGAGACAAGTAGAGACCAGAGTAGGTGGAGGCTGGCGAAGAACAACAATCTGGACACACGGTCCGAGACGCAGCAGATCGTTCAGCTCTTCCAGGGTGGCGCTGACCACCGGCACCCCATTCACTTCCACGAGTCTGTGAGGACAAAGTGGTAGGTAATAAGTGATTAACAAATATTGAAGAATATGTATTTTACAGTAAGCTTGATAATAATTTCTGGCATTCATAAACAAACAGGATTTACATTAGGATAGATGGCCTGCAGGTTTTTATTCGCTTGTAAAAAAAAAAAAAAAATACAACAAAAGACTGTTTTCGACTCCGTTGGTTCTTTATTTTCTCTGTAGTCACGGATCTTTCCATGGCCAAACTGTTTCTACGAGCAAAAACAACACCACTGAGAGTATGTGAAATTGTGTCTCTAACAGCTTTGTTTCTCTAACAATACACTGACTATAATTCCTTAATTGCTTAAATGCATGACATATTTGTATCTGCTCATTTTCTCTCTCTTCTGCATCCAAGTATTACATGACTCTGTTGCTTGTTTTGGGGCTATTATTTAATGAGTCTCCATAGCTACTGAGCATAAAAAAATGCACCAATGAAAGAAATGAGTAAGATCTGCTTTCACTTGCTAGGGGGGGATCAGTGAACACACTTTAGTCAACAATCCTAAATGATCTGCCCAGGGTGGTTTTGTTAGTGCACCTTTCTTACCTGTCCCCCACACACAGGTGGGAGTTGTCCACCTTCACCACCACCAGTCCTCTGTCATCTCTGTGGCAGCATGTGAAGCCATAATGCCCATCAGAAAGCTGCTTCTCTTGCACGACCATCAACATGGCTGGAGACTGAGGCGTCACAAGCTGGCTCAAGCTGCCTAAAGCTGAAGTCTGTTTTTGAGCTTTCTCCTGTAATAACATGAAACAAAAACTCAAACAATGCAGTATTTTTTTTTAAAGAAAATAAAAGTCTGACTAGTGTAGCATTTAGATTTGTCCCACTTGATTCAATGCTTTGTAGGGTCACCTAGCTGTTAGTCTGTATCCATGAAGACTACACAGTGAACCCTCGGTATTCATGGGAATTAGGGACCACAAAGCTGAAATCTGTTAATATTTGAGAAACTCATAATAGGTTATAGCTGCCTGTATTTGCTGTTGAAAAACCAAATATACCTTAAAACACAGTGGAAATAGTATTTTAAGCTAATTTCCACAGTCTTCCTTATCGCCCCTCTTGGGGTTACAACCAATAATCGTCAAGGAAAATGACAGTTCTAGATAAGCTGCTTTGCAAACACCAGCCAGTAGCATTTCAAGTAGTGTCACACCCAGGTTTCAGTTTTCTAAGCTGGCTTTTCTTTCAAATATTTTAGATAAGCTCTACAAAATATCCATTAACAGACACACTTTCTGCGAATAGCTTAGCATTATGCTCCACAGAAAATTTTGCGATTTCTGAACTGGGAATAGTCAACTGTGTTTTCTAGCATGAGTTTTGGTCGCTCCTAGGTGTGGTGCATTTACTATTTGGAAAATGTGTGGATTCTATACTTTCTGACTGGCTGGTCATTGGTCAGGGATGATCATGCTAAATATTTCCAATTCTCCCCACAAGCAGATTTCTTGATGCATTCAATGGCTGCAAAAGTGCAGCATGATTTATCATTATGCTTTTTTGTATATTTTTACGTTCCCACAGGAAACCTTTGCACACATTCAAAACAAACATGTCCATCGAGCTTAGATAATGCAGTTGCATAACTAATTAATTTTTAATGTCATGTTAGGTCTCAATTCAAAGCATAATTCACCATTGGTGATTGATGAACTATGACTTCTTTTGTTCTCTAAACTGCCTGTCAAACTTGTTATGTGCCACTGAGTTATAAAAATAACCCGGATATCGCCTCCTTTAAAGTTACACACACCACTACAGTACAAGAAAGTTCCCAAGAGATAAATACTGAGTCTGCGTCAAAGTCAGTCGACCACCAAGATATAATGATTAGCTCTAAAAGAGATCACGCCGCAAGAAGCTTGCAGGAATCAGAAATAACTTGTGAGTCTGACCACTGAATTCCAACGGGCCCTTTATCCAGCCTCTTGGCATACTTCTCTCTCCCCCCACACGGCGTGTGAATGCCTTGCAGCAATAGCTGCCGCCTCGCAAGGGTCAGGGGTCAAAGCTAAAGCTTCTCTCTCTCTAGACAAGTGGGCCAGACAGGATATATCAACGGAAACGCAGGCAAAGCCCCTCGACGAAACTCTAATATGTATTTTTTCCCTTCCAGTTTGTTCAGTTCTGGTCATATTTTAAGAACCTGAGGACTTTTCGTTTCATATTCTTCTTGTTTATCCGGAACTTTGAATGAAATCCCCGCCTGCCTGAGGCAGACATGCGGTACTATTCCACAAAACTAATGCGGAGTAAGTGAGAACATCAGGAATTATTCAGTGAAGATAATGAAACGGTGAGAAATAATCTAACAGGAGTGCAGTGAGATTAAAATTGAAGATGCTCTTTCTGTTGGTTTTTTGGGGGGGAATTTCCTTTTTGCACGTAGAGGACTTAGGTGCTAGGGAGGGATGAACCAATAATTTTCCAGCTTTCTTCTCTCCCACTATCCATCTGAAGTTTTAAAACCATTAAAGCTAAACGGATTATTTAAAGTCACTTCCCTCATTTGATGTTCTCACCCTTCACCCCTCGATCTGTGTCTCTGTTTTCCTCTGCTTCCCCCTTTTCCTCCTTCCCTCTCAGCTGCTTTATTGATGCTCTCCAGTCACAGGCGATCCTGGTGATTAGACGGCCGATGATGAAATATTTCCTTATTGTTTGAAATTTGGGGCAGCCTACGAGGAGCAAACACTGGGCGGTCTGTTCCTTATTTGAACAGCAGCTCTATCAGTTCCCAGACTGCTCCTTGGCTCTGACCTGTGTGTTAACTCTGATTAGGTCATATGATAAACATTAGTGCTGCTGCTTTTCCCACAAACTCAGCACCTAAAAAAGTGTGGCCTGGGGGCGGCAATGTGACACGGGGCACCTTTCAAAGCTGAAACCGCGTGTGTCCTTTCATGGCATCTCGTTAGGGCTTCACCGACGAGATAAAAGAGCCACATTAAAAAAGAAGGGGAGCTCCACTGGGGGATAGATGCAGATAGTTTTACACATACTGGCCCATTTCTCCATTTCACTCTCCCAGTAGCTTTTGTCACATGCATTCCTTTGTTGGTATGGTCACAGGCTCTCGAATGTCAGCGCTAAACATCCTTTTCTAAGTAAACACTGCCAGTTTGTCTAAATGACTTGCTCTGTCCGCTTGTTCATCCTCTTTTAAGCAACTCTTCCTTTTTAAAGGGCGTTCATTCTTGTTGCTCACAATAGCTGAATTCATTTCCGTGACCAAAAGCGCTTAGACTTCAAGCAAAAGTTGCTAATCAATAATAATGCATACAGAGCACACCAAACGTGAACATCAGTGCATAATGCAAAAAAGTCAAAAAAGTGTCTAGGAGGAGAGATACTGTCTGCCTGTCACTCACCGGGTTGACGAGTGACGGGCAACACCATGATGATGAGTGACCGCTTGGACAAATTTTTTTAATTCAAAACATTAAATTCCTTGAAACATTCTGGGTCAGTGCTGTAGTTTCTGCAGTGATTGTGGAAGACCAATTTTTATTATCAGTCCTAATTTTACTTATGATGATTTTTTTTAACTCTTTCTCACATGCTGTTTTTATTTTAATTATGTAAAGCACTTTGAAATGCCTTGCTGCTGAAATGTGCTATACAAATAAAATTTGATTGATTGATTGATGGTTGCACTACAATGATGTGCTCACAAACAACACATTTGGTTAACTCAACTGTCTGGCTGTCAACTTCCTGGTTTTAGCCATCTCCTGTAGCTGCTCTTGTCTCCTTAAATCCAAAATAAATGTTTAACAATCCAGTTCAGAATGTACTTTCAGTAGAGACACTGTTTTGTTAGGTGAGAAGAAATCATTCTCTTTTTTTTGTTTTACTTCTCAAGAGATTATTCAAGTTTCCTGTATCATTGCACTCACCGTATTCTGCCTCTGTCAGTCTAATAAGCTTTCCATTTAACATATTCTCATTATAAAGGTGATTTGTATTAATACTTCTCTGTAGCCATATAAGGTAAAAGCCATTACAGATGCCATCTATGGCAGAGCCTTTTGCATTCAGTGGGCATGACTCAAAAGGCTCATTTGGTTTCAGAAATGTGAATTTTAAAATTATCCACTTTGCAAACAAAAGGTTGCTTGTGATTTATTAATATTACATATTCTGAGGATTTTCAAGTTTTGTGACACTGAAACACAATGTTTTATGCTCGTTAATGCACCATTGTGTTTTGTCAAATCAGCAATAGTTTTGATTGGAGGATTATCTTCTCAAATAGCTGTGACCACCTTGTCTTACTGGGCTAATCTATTTAAGAGTTAAATATCTTTGTATACAAATAAATCTTAGCATGTCGCTGCAAACTGATTTATGCATCAGAACTGGAATGTCTGAAAGAAAAAAAGGCCAGTCACACAAGTTTCTTTGAAATGGTTAAGAATAGCTCAAAAAGCACCATATTCTGCAAAAAAACACCAAATTTGACTCTGCTATTTTCTGTGCTGAAATCATTTTATTATTCCATACCAAACATGCCTCTCCCAGTATCTGCAGTTGTTTTGGTGCACATATCAGTTTCTCAGTGTTTATTTTTGGAAATGAAAACATTCTCAGTCTCAGACGGTACAGCTTTCCCACATATTGGTGCAACTGTCATTCACACGCTGTTGATTAAACTCAACTGACTCAACTCCAGCGCTCTTTAAATCTGCAAATTAAACTCTGCAATGATGCAAGCATTCAATGAAAGAACACTCATTTTTTCTGCTGTACCTTCCTGGCGCTTCCTTGCCAGGCATTTAAGAGATGAGTAGCTTGTCGATTGAGATGTACAATGGTAATTTCTTCCTTAAACACTTGGCAGTTCAGCTTAATCTTTTCCAGCAGATGAACCTCCAGCTGTCTAAATGAAAAGAGACCACATTTCAGAGACTGTGACAGACATATATACATGTAGTCACATGCAATTAGCAAAATTAGTTGTTACAAGTAACATTTTATACTATCATTAGAGTTCTATGGGATTTTTTTTTTTTTGTCAGAGTTGAAGAAGTATAGTAGACAGCTCAGTCTCCATGAAAAATCAGTGAATCTCTGGGCCCAGTGTTTTTCAAAATACAACAATGCAGTAACTTTGAGGTCTCTTATAGCAAGGACTCTGCAACACCAGTCCTCCAGTGCCCCTGTTTTGCAACTTTTTAATGTACTGTTGCTCCAACACACCAGAATTATCTCCTTGGCATGTCGGCAAGTTTTGCAAAAACCTGGTCATTAGCCATTCATTTTATTCTTAGTCTGTTGGAACAGGGATGCACTCAAAGGTTGCAGAGCAGTGGCACTCGAGGACTGTAGTAACAGACCCCTGCTTTAGAGCACAGGTGTTCCGCTCTAGTCCTTAAGAGCTGGCTTCCTCCCAGCTTTAGATAAGTTTCTGCTTGCAGCACTGGTTTTAACAGTGCTGGTTTTAAAGCTCCAACTATTTCCTCAGCATGTCATAAAGTTCTGCAGCGACCTCCTAATGAATCATTATTTGATAAAAGTGTGTTGGACCATGGGAAAAAAATACTACTCACCCTTGAGCACTGATTTTGGACACCGCTATAGAAGAATGATGATATGACGCAATTCCTCTCTGGTACTCTCTCAACCATCGTAAGAAGAAAAATCCTCACTAACTCTTTTATTTTTTTAATGACATGACTATCTCTTGTGATGTAAGTAAACAAAAGGTGAAGAGTGTTAATGTTCCACCTCGTTCGTTAAAATTAAAGGTGTTATTCCCTGACTGTAACATTTTAAAGTGCAAAGTGTCATCACTTGAAGAGGGAAGAGTCCATCCAGTCTCTCTCCATTGCGAGGCTAGACCACCTCCACAAAGACACTTCACCTACTTGTTTTTATGAGCAGCTGAGTTGTTAATGTTGTCTCTGAGGATCTGCAGCCTCTGCCTCTTCTCCAGCAGTTGGCTGTTTACCATCTCCAGCCTCTGTTTCAGCTCAGCAGAACCCAACCTGCCCACATTCGCATCTGGGTCCATATTCTTTATCTCTGAGCAAAACGCTACCAGGCCGTGGTGAAGCTCCTGGACCTTGGGGAGTCAAAGGGATAAAATTGATTATAATTCTTACTATGAATTGAACAGGGCTTTTTGATTTTTACAACAGACCTGAAGGATGACATTCTGCAGCGAGTCCACCTGCTGCTTTAGCTCCCGGATCCTCTCCTCTTTACCTGGCTGGTTCACCTGGGCATTTTTGTTGACGTCGCCTTTTTCACCGTTCATATCCGGACTAGGTCCCGATGCAGAATTCGTTTGTTTGTCCTATTACGTAAAATCAAACAGAACGTTTGTTAGCGTGCACACTGTAAAATCTGTAAATACCGTGTCAAAGTTCATTACCGCTTTACACAGATGCAGCTCCAGCTGCTCGTTCTCTAATGGTGTCTTCAATAAAGCTCCTATCTGCTGATCCAGGGACAACTCCTCTAGGGAATCTGAGGAAATAAAACACAAAATCATATTAATACCCTCTTCATATAAAACCTCTGTATGCTATCGCAAACTATATGGGGATATTGCTGATTATCTGAGCACCTTGCTTCTCTTTTAGTGTGAATAGAGTCTTATTGTCCATCAGTCCCAGCATTTTCATGCACGAATCCATGATTTTTCCCACTGTTGTTTCCTTTGGGGTCCTCAGATGAACTATCCGTTCTGATGCTGCAACATTTGCATCAAAATTAAGTCATTTAAAACACATTTAAAAATCATTTTAAAAATCTACCTAAGAAGCTCAAATCTACACTGCAGACATTAACATACAGAGTCTTGCAAAAGTATTCACACCCCTATAACTTTTTTTTTATATTTGGTGACATTACAAACAAACTGTGATTATGTGGAATTTTATTAACTATATCAGCACAAATTAGTGTGAGTAATTATGACGTAAAAGAAATCCAACAATCAAATTGAACACATGGTTTACTATATTTATCTCAGTCAGATATCTGAAAAGTGTGGTGCTCATCTTTTTCCAGTTTCTCAGGGACGTCTTGTGTGTAGATTTGCACGTAAAGAGACCTCTTTACAAAATAGCTCAAGTTTAGTCAGATTATGTGGCACTTGTCTTCCTACATATTCTCATTAGGCTTTGAACCTGGACTTTGACTGGTCCATCCTATTGCAACTCTGACTGCATGTTTAGGTTTATTGTTTTGCTAAAAGATGAACTTCTACCACAGCCCAGAAAAGAAGGGTTTTTTTTGGGGGGGGAGGGGTTTTTTTGTCCTTCATTTCTATTCACCTTCCCATCAAACTCCACCAGTTACCTTTCTTTGTTGTAGAAAACTCATCCCCATATTATTTTTGCCATTATTCCGGTGTTCTGTGAGATGTGCTGGGTATTTAAGGTTATCCACAACTTTATCTCTGACCTTTCTGGTGTCACTTGGTTTTCATGATACTGTTTGTTCTTTAATGTTCATTAATACTGAGATTTAATTAATTTCAAATGGAGTAGCAATGCTGTAATTAGATGATGACTGATGGAAGTTGGCTGCATCATATTATTTAAAAATAATGCATTTCTTAAATCAAAAAGAAATCAATTAAAAAGTGAATTAAATACTTTGAAGATTGTCATTTGTCAAGATGGGGGGGAAAAGGCATGGGGTAATGACACTTTGCAAGCCTTTTTATTGTCTCTGCTTCAGGGAATAAGTGATAATTTACTATTTAAGTTTGTGTGACTGTGTTGACTCACCGTTAATTGTGATCTCTATCATCTGAGAACCCCTTGGTGCCATGAGGTTTTGGCTCCTGTTCCTATTGTCAAGCAAGATCATGAGAATAAAAACAACACTTGCTTTTTCCTTTAGTCGTATTTTGTTTTCACTGCGGTGCGCGTTTTTGGCAGTACTTCAGGGAACAGCACCAGCAGAAACTAATTAAAATATCTGTAGCATGTTCCTAATAGGGTTCTCTCTTTTGTACTCTGTAGCTTGTAGCAATAGAATGCAGCAGAGGTATCAGCCTGAAGGCCTCTGATACCGATGTTATTACACGTAATGTTTTCCTTCTAATAACCCAGTAGCTACAGACCTGCTGCAAGTATGTTTTTTTTTTTTTTTTATGTGCAAGGTTTAAAGAGTATATGACCTTTACCTGAACTTAAAAGAACGCCGATTCATACTCAGGCAGCTTACATGGGGAGAGGATGTGGACCTGCTCATGGATGCCGAATCTGTAGTGGACGTTTCCGTCTTACTTGGCTCTAAAGTCTCTGGGTAAAAAGGAAACATCAAGCAAACATGTATTTATTTTATTTTGTCAAGTTTAAAACCTTCTTTACAACTTTAAAGCCCGGATGTCCCAGTCGAGGCATTTTTTTTTAATGATTAGGATCGTACATCCTTACTAAACTCAACTCCCGGTTGTTGGAGTAATGCCTGTAATTTTATGTCAGCCAACCATAGTGTTAGCCAAGGAATTGTAACGACTGTGTTTTGCACAACCAAAATTACATGGATTGCAAAACAGACTGGATTGCAAAAACTTATTATTAGAGAAAACATAGTTTTTCTCTAATAATTTTAAATGGTGTTCACCGTGATGGACTGTATTGGACGCTGTGCCCTGTGACCTGCTATTTTGAGTACGCAAAACAGTTGAACCATCTGCCATTAATTAGTTCAACAACAATTAAGATGTTGAAACCAAAGCTTTTTAAAGAGGGCGTATTAAGTAAAATTAACTTTTGAGTTTGATTGTGCTGTACAATGGTACTATGTGCCTGGAAAATACATCATGCCACAGCTAAGAAAAGGAAAACAACTTTTTTTCTAAGTTTGTTCAGAACTGACTGGAAACGGCATTTTAACATGTTTCATAGTGGATCGTCAACAAGTCATATCAAAGCAGAGAGTAAAGCAGGGAGGCTTTCCACTTAGTAAACTACTCCATATGAAAACTGTCAGAAGGAACAAAATGTTTTAGGGTTATTATGTGTTACTTCAAGCAAATGTATGGCACTGACTGTAATAGATTTAAGGTGGTATCCATAAACAGCTAATCTGATTGATATATAGAAACAACTGCTTGACTGGGACATTCCTACTGAGGTGAAAAATACCAAGCAAAGAGTCAAGAGTCTGAGTGGTGGTGCTGTGAGGGTGGAGCGCATTATAGATAGCTGACAGTAATCGCTCCCTGTCCTCCAGTGAGCTGATGTGGAGGATGTCCAGTGTGTTGGCATCTACTGAGGCTATGTCTGATCCACACAGTTTAGCTTCTAAGAGAGAAGAGAGAAGACGCCATAAACAAACATGCATGCAGAAGTCTTATTTTTAATAGACCAAAAACAAAAGACAGATTTCTCTAAAAGGCATTTATGCATCTCTGCATCTCTTAACACTACGAAAGGATCAAGTTCTAACTAAAATTTTAATGATTCTGAATATATTTTGCTGCATGCCAAAGAAGAGCTAGGTGATGAGTCAAAATATGATGTTTTACCTCTGATTAAAGGGAGACATTTTTGCAGTCCAATACTGGTAAACCACTGGCAGACTTCTTCTATGCTCAGCTCACTGAGGGATTTGGCCTCTTGCTTGTATAAATCCTGAGAGGTAGACGATGTACATACATTCTGCAGCACATAGCAACCGTGTCATGCAATGGAAACCCTGTTTTATAAACACGATGTTGCAAAACACTGAGCATTTATATCGTCATTTCTTTCTTTTGTGAAGCCGAGTCATTTCTAAGGCAAAGATTCATACTGTATGAAGATGAAAGTTTTCTAAAACATCATGATTGCTTCAAGTTAATTTTGTTGTTTTTAACCAGAGATTGGTTAATTAGCTGTTTTTTTTGTTGTTTTTTTTGTTTCCTTTTTTACAAAGCAAGAGATGACGCTGACTTTCACTGTTGCTATTTAAATTCTGGCAACACTTCAAAACAAAATTCCAGAATTGTCAATGTTTGCGTCACCGTCTTATTGGAAATGAGTGTGACTGAGTTGGATATGCCCGTTAAGACATGTTGCTGCTCGTTAACATATTTGAGTCATTGTGAAGAGCTTAAACAGCCTGAAGAATTAAAACAACATTTTTTGTTTTGTTTTGTTTTGTCTTTTTTGGTTGCGCAGATTGGCTTAAATAAAGCCCTGCTGTTACCTGGAAATGTTTTCAACTATGATGGTGGCTGATATTAAATAAACTGATGGTTTGTTCTAGTGATGTTTTCATGAATCATGGTAAATAATATTATATCCACATCTTAGCCAACATTTGTCATGTACCAAAAAATTGTGGTAGTATAGTTACAGTTCTTGCCAGACCTTAATTTACATTATGTGGGATTTTTAATCATTTATTTGAGCTGTGCATTTTGCACGGTGGAAAGATTGATTTTTAAACACAAGACAGAAATGCACAAATGTGAATTTTTGGGGATTTTTCTCCCAATCCACACTGGGTCAAATTATACATCCTGGCTGAAATATATTCCATACACTTCCACTAATATTTGGATAAATATCCTTTAGTAAGTTACATAAAACCACAAACTGTTTGTAGTCATCAACAGCATATTGGGATAAATCTGGCTGGATGTTTGACCACTCTTCCTAAATGTGTTGGTTTTATTGGCTTTCAACCCCTTTTTAAGCATATCCCATCAATTCTCCATTGGATTGAGGTTGGAGACATTCCAGAAGCTCAGTGTTAGCTTGCTTTATTTATCCCGACGCTGGTTTTGGTGTATTTGGTGTGTTGGAGCTTCCAGTTCTGTCAAAGCTTCAGCAGCCTGACACAAACTATCAACCTCATGAGAAAGGAAATTGGTTAAGCTTTTCAAGAACAACACAAGAGCCACCCCGTCTCACCCAGCCGATTCTGTACTGGGAAGTACAGAAACACCAGGATTACAGGAGAACATGCTGACCCTAACCCTGCAGTGCGACACTTTGAAGCTTACCTGAAATGTTCAGTTTTCAACATCAACAAAAGCGCATCTCCCCCAAAGAGGTTTTATTGACACAATATGGCTTAACACTGAACTATCAACTTACTTCCAGTAAATCCACAGAAAATACAGTGGACAACAATAATACCCGACTAATGTCATAATTGTTTTTTAAATTGATGAACTAATCTTAACCAACTTCCTCTTGATTGGATTGGGTATAAAGGCTGGATCCATGCTGACTAACATGGATCCAATTTAAAAACCTTTTACCAAATCTGATAAGAAAGGTGGCCAAATACCCAGACAAAATTATGTCAAAAACTTGTTGAGAACCAGAAGAAATATGTTTTTTCTGGTGAACCCAGTTCTAGTTTTCAAAATCTATGGAAAATGTGTCTTGCACCCAAAATTATTATCATTTTAATGTTGATAATGTTTGGTTTAAAATGTGTATTTGTGTAAATAACTCACACAAAACCGGTGTTGTAACCACATGAAACTTAGCCTTGATGACAACAATTTCTCTGGATGTGAGTTTCTCTTTTGAACTAACTGTTTCAGTTTAAGCATACACCGAAATTGTAAAAGACACAAGGATCCTTGTTTGGAAAATTTCAATAACAAGAGTAAATTCCTGAGACTTTTTGCACACCCATTGTTTTACCATAAGGCCAGGAGAGATAGGGAAATCTAAACAGAGACTATTCAGCAAGCATCATCAGTAAACTGTGTGATGATGCTATGCTATTTAGGCCCCACTTTGCTTCTTTAGATTACCTTGTCAGTGAAGTTTCCATTCTGATCCGCTGAATGAGGCTCACATGAAGCTGGACAGACACACAACAAAAATAATGCCAGAAAGACAGTATCTAAATCACCCATTAGCTGGAGAAACGGCATTATGCACAATATCTATCCATAAGGTGCAGACAAACTCACCAATGGTTATGCGCCGTTGCTGAAGCGATCCTTTTCTTTCCTTGCACGGATCTGTGATATGTGTTGATGTGTGGAAAGCAGAAGTCTGAACTGTTTCTCCAAAACTGCAGGAACGTGTTAATGGTCGCTGTAATATAGGTTCCTGATTAGATAACCGTCCTATCTAATGAACTCAAAGTCATCAAATATAAGTTATTTCAACACATTGTCATATGCCAGTAATAATTATTTAGCAGATTTTCACTGTACTACAAGTCAGCTGCAGATACAGTTTCTAAAATGCAATATACACACGTGAGGAGAGGAGCTAGGAGTAGTCGTACCCTGTGGAAGGTAAAGGCCTCCATCCGGGCTGTGTGAGGAAGCTTGTCAAGTTCTTTCTTCAGCATGTCAGGACGGATAAGATCTCTGTTGCTCAAGTCATCTTAATAGAAGAAAACAATTAAAATTGCTAAAGAAAGAGCGAAAGCTTTAGATTTAGTCCTTATAAGCTTTTGTAGATTATAATGCTGAACAGTGCCTTGCAAAAGGATTAATATCTTTTGAAATTTTTCACATTTCATCATGTCGAAACCACAAACTTGAATGAATGTTATTGAGATTTTTTTCATAGAGATGGAAAAAGTGGTGAATTATTATGAAGCGGGAGGGATAGAAAACAATTTTCATAAAAAAAATAATAATAATTTGGAAAGCAGTTATCTAATACACTGGTTAGATCAGTCCTTTTTTTAAACTTAACACCCCAAAAGCTAAATATATAATTTTAACTTTAGGAAGTTATATCCCTGCCTGCAATAAATGGTGCCGTTTTTGAGGGTTGTTTTTGTTGGTGAAATAACTAAAATTGGTCGCATTATTTAATAGCTGGGGTCAAATTGGAGTGTATGTAATATTTCTTTGAAAAAAACGCATGTGGTCTGAAACCTAAATAGGAAGAAATATTTCTACAAAAATTATTCTTTGCACTATTGGTGAAAATTACCAGAAACAAACAACTTTTTCTCGGATAATCATTTTCAAACATTGCTCAGTTCTTTAGCATTTTTGGCCGAAACCCACAGGGGAGAGTCTAAAAAGTCATTTGTGGCTGTCACTCAAAAACTGCTGTTCACTTCCAGTCTGAAAGAGTCTGAGCTAATCTGCAAAGAAGACCAGGCAAATAAAATATTCAAAATTGGTAGGGGAAACCAAACACGCAAAAGCTGCAATTCATGAAAACCCCATGAATCACAGTGCTTTGAGTTCATGACTACGTGGGACTTTGGGCTGATCTAAAGTCTCAGTAAAATAACTTGAAGTTTGTGGTGATAGCACAATAAAATGTGAATAAGTTCAAGGGGTGTGAATACTTTTCCAATGTGCTGTAGATTGAGTTACTGAGCAACCAGCCAAACACAAGCCTGTCTGTCTGGTGGACGACATGCTTCTCTGACAGCCCAAATTCTTTCCCACAGGCAGCCCCTTTTCTTACATTTCCCAAATATCACTTGGTCATTTATTTTGTCCAATCATAACAAGCAAGACGAATGAGGCTGGAAACATGACATCCAGCTAAGCCCTGACTTTTTCATGCCACACATGGCAAACATAGTGATGTGACTGTGACAGCCTAAACTTCAATAAATTTCAAGGTTAAAGGATTAGGATGAAAAAGCAGTTGTCTTTTTGAATAAGCTAACCAAGAAAAACATGAGCATCGTCATATGAGTACTTTTTTTTTTGTTTCCACATTTCAGCTTGCCGTTTCTGAAAAGCTGGTTTGACATGGATAGGGGTTGAAACGAAGGCAGAGGCAGATAAGACAGTGTAATTGGTTTATGTGTGTCAGCACTGGAATCTTGTCTGGATCCTGGAGGAGCAGAAGAGCACAAAAAGGAGGGGCGTTGAGCTAGCAGTCTCTTCATCACCTGGCTCTAAGAGTATATGACCTGCAGCTAAGCAGAGGCAGAAAATTCTGTGTGCCAAGCCCCTGTCTTATCGAGGCTGGGCTGAAAGAACTGATGAGTGTTGGCTACATCGGACGACACATGGGAGTACCTTCATGTAGCTGACGACTGTGTGCCTTTGATATTCTGAGAAAATCACTTTCTCACTCAGTGACTTTTGTTATCTTCCTACAGTTCTTAAAATTACTCTACTCTCTCAAAGTGGAAGAATAGCATCCATATATTTCCATTTGCCCCTCTTGGACCAGCTTCTTAATTGATCTGGACTTTGACTAGGCCATGAGAATACCAACACCTCCTTTAGAATTGCCACCTCTAGATTGCCTCTCTGATACATGACTTTTGATGTCTTTGTTTACTGTCTTAATACAAGACAAGTCTTTTCAGACTCTTGTCTCCCTATCAGCTACGACCCCTGCTTTACTTCCCTGGTGAAGTAAAGCAGCACCACAGAATGATGCTCCCACCACCTTGTTTTGCTGTGGGCGGTAGTGTTTTCAGGGCCCAACATCAGTTTTGCAAAATATGTAGTGCTGTGGATGTCAGCCAGTTGTTTATGACAAAACGTGGAAAAATTATGGAAATGAATACTTTTCTGTGCCATTATATGACGTTCTTCAAAGAAACGAAGGACAGGAATATTCAGGCATGTTAAAATTCAGCCTAGACATAATCCATCAGTCTGAGATGCATGACTATCGGGGACAGCAAAACCATGAGTAAGCCTGCCTGCTAAGACAGGTTAGCATAGGCAGATCCTACATTTTGCCTGTGACACATTGTGACACACAGACAGACACAAGATTAACAACAAAGCGAAGCTTTAGAGTCATGACATTTCAGCACATTTGTGTAATGGATAGGGAAAAGTGATGCTTATCATTTGTACCATTGGTTTGAAAGGAAAGTCTGCTTTTTGAGAGAAGACGGAGGGAGGAGCGCATGCTGAGTCACAGCAACCCAAAACCTGGGAACAGGCTGAACAACCACACTTGGGGAATACGTGCACAATGGCTAAAAAGAGACTCCAACAAAGGGGAACTTCTACAACTCCCTTGTGAGGCGTTCTGGGTACTGTAGCCATGTCACATAATGAGAGCAATTTCAGCTGAATGGGGAACCAAGATCAAAACGGAAAGGTAGCACTTGAGTCTGAACAGCTGGAAGAAGAAACACTTGGTCTGGATCTGGATGACATTTACCTCTCACCTCGACTATTCCTTAATGGAAACAAAAAGACAGAATACAAGAACCAGGGAAAGACTTACCCAAGTTATTTTCAGTGAATGATAGAAAATGTATCCCTGCGTTGCTTCCCCCTGTGACAAAAAGAGAAGAAAACAGAAAACAATGTTTTTGCTGTGAAGTATGTCATAGCTTTTCAAATAGACGCAAAATTAAACAGGCATGAAAAAGAATTTGGTTGATAAGGTACTAAGCAGTTGGAGGAAATTTTAGGGTATTTTTTTGTTTCATATATTTATGAAATAGGCTGAACTGCTACAGGAACTCATTTGTTTCACTTTCTATCAAAGCCATTAACAGAAACAAAGCATAAACTGTGACTGTACGTAATATTGTCTAAGATTTTAAATGTACTGCTTTGTTTCTCTGGTGTATCATTATTTATTTCTCCTATAATGAATTAGTCATAAAAGTGGTTTTAAGTGAGAAGATAAAATGACAGTTATGGTTTTTCAATTGTGTAGCAGCCAGTGTTTGTATCCATGACAAATTTCTTCAAGATAGTAAAGTTTCTTATCTTATCTTATCTTATCTTTCTTAGAGAGCAGCTGGACTTCATCTTCTGTTTCATGAAGACATTTTACCTCTCATTTATAGTTACCCGTTTGTATTGCCTTGCACTTTTTATCCTACAAGAACCATAGAGAGGCTATAGATTAAAGATTAAGAATAAACCATATCTCTTTCACCTTCTGATGAAGATAACAGAACACAGAGAATAGCACATCAGGTTAAGACACTGCAGTTTATTTACAGCTCAAGGACAAAGGAGACTCCTTTGAGGACAGGGATGTGCACATTTCTTTGTCTCCGGAAGAGGAGACGAAGAGTTTCTATGTGAAACACAAAAACATAGCATAATTTACTCAGCTCATTAAAAAAACAAACAAACAAAAAAACAACTTTAGCTCTGCTCCCAGTCTGTTTCACAGCCATTCGTGCATCCTAAACACCCCTCATAGTGGAGTTCCAAGAAGGCATTCTTCAAATGATAACATTGCAAACAACAAGGATTGTTGGGTCAGTGACTCATATGTGTCTTCATCTGCTCATAGCTGTGGAGTACCTCAGAGCTCTATTTTAGGCCCTATCCTGTTTTCATTGTGTTTGCTACCACTATAATCCACTATGAGAAAATACAGTCCCACTTCACTGCTGCTGATAATTTACAGGTTTGTTTGTCCACTCAAGTATATAAAAAAGACTGACATTTTTGCAAGAAAAATATTCAGGAATCCAGTATTGTTCTCATTTTCTTTATAATTTGCCCATAGACTTTCATGCAACTGAGTTTGGTTTATACCTGAATGAATGAATACCAGGGTGTCGTATCCTGGTAGAGAATCTACAGTAGAATGTTTAAACAGTGGTTATATTTCCTTTCTTTTACTTCAACATAAACGCATTTACAAATTTCTTTAAGTAATCAGTCACCTAATTAAAACCTAGTTGCTCCAGAGTTTCACCTTTACATGAAAACCGATAGACTCACGTTTATTTGAGATGTCAGGTGTAGCAGCCCCCTTAAAGGCACTTGATAGGAATGCGGCTCTTAATTTCTTTTCATCCAGCTTTTTATGAGGTACAGATTCTTCTTGCTCTCCAGATTTATCACTTAGACCACCACCACTGTTGGATTTGCTTTCAACAATTTCATTACTTCCTTTAGCCAGTGTGAATCCTTTTTTTGATTCCTCCGTTTGCCGTTTGTCCAGGTCAGTGGCAGCAGATCTTCTATCGCTCTCAGATGAACAAGCCTCACATTCAACTAAATCGCCGTCAAAGAATCGATCATCATCAACAACATTAGAGGGAGTGGGTGGGATCAGGTTGATTATGGGTGTTGTCAGGAGGCCTCCAGCACCAGATGTGCCATCAGCGCCATTTTCAAACACCAGCTGGAATTCCTCCTCTTCTTCATCAGCCTGCTTGTAGCTAATGGAGGCTGTTGGTTGAACCTGGCGCGGTATAACAAGTGAAGACGGAGCATTGAGTCTTTTCTTTTTCAGAGCCCTTGAGCAGGATGACGCAGAGCTGAACGAGGGGTCCGTGCTTTTCCTTGGGGTCAGGAGGCCCTCGTCCCCCAGGCTAAAGCCTGTGTTATCGATCCCCAGATCCTCCACTGTAATATGGACCACATTCTTCTCACCTGATCCCCGTTTATCCAGGTGTGAATGCAGACGACCCTCATTAATCTTCATTTGCTGCTTCCTCCTGACACACAGACATGAGCAGAAGAACAGTCCGCATGAAAAACGTTCACTTTTTCCCCAGGTTCTCCGTTGCTTCTCAGCTTCTCCGCTCGCCATCGAGATGACTCTGAATATTTTTCAAAATCCGCTTCTTCTCAGCAAAATGAAATGGATTTCTCCATATCGAAAGGAGAACAAAACCTTCGTCCACTCCTCTGTGATACTAAATCTGGACCAAACAGACAGTCGGCTGCATCATGCGTTGCTTAGGAAAACCGTGGAGGAGAAAAAAGCTCCCAATTCATACTCTTGAGGTCAGGTGGACACTTGAAATGAATGCAAGCCTCACCGAGTATCCTTTGATATGATAAACACCATCATTGCAGCCACATTGGTTTAAAACGACTGATATGGCAGCTGAACCGTGGTAGACGTATGGATTGTAAAGTTAAAACAGCCATGCATGTGCCTGTAGTGGTACTTATATGAATTTGAGAAATCCATATTAAATTTTGTGAGGGTGGTTTTCACAGGGCCTTGTGTGAATAGGGGCAGCGGATGTGTGGCTCAAACAACCCGCATGGCATCAGATGACATTTCCCTCATTCCACAGGAGCCGTCCTGTTCTCTGATACTTGATGAATCATCCAGCATCAGCTTAAAACTGGCTTACTGCACCACCCACACCGAAGGCTTTTCATGAAAAGATAATATCCCTGTTTTTTTTTTTTTTTGCTTCTCACGCCCGTAACGTGACAGCAGAGTGATAGGAATGGGTACTCCTCCACCAGTAGGCATGTCTTGCCCTGGAGACTTTCTTTTGCATTTCTTCCCTCAGTTTCTCAATTTCTATGCATATAACAATGAAATTACAAAGCAAACACCATGTCAAGGGTAAAGATGTTTATCTGCCTACCAGGGTTAAAAAATTATGCTCAGCAAATTTAGCCTGCTACAGATAAAGCCATAGTTAAAGTACAGTTAATACTTTAAAGAACCACCTTTTGCTGCAAGTCTTATGGGTCTATCTCAGATTTGCACAACAAATTCTGTCTCACTCTTTACAAATAAGAATGGGGGCGAAAAAAGCAAAGAATAGAAGAAAGCATAGATATTAAAGCCTTGGCATGACTTGACAATTGGATTTAGACCTGTACTTTGACTGGTCCTTCCTAACAGAGGAATATGCTTTGATCTAAAGTCCAGGTTTTCAAAGTGTGGGGAGCTAGCCCCTTCTCAGAGAGTAAATAGACAACTGCACCCACCCCAACTACATCTTTATTATTTCTATCATCAATTTGCTGATGTTATATTTGATGTTTCATTCATACATGTTTCACTAACGCAATAAAGTTTACCTGCTTTAGTTATGCATATCACATTATGATATGATGCTTCAGTTGCCGTGTCATTTACAGTTTGAGTGAACGATGGTGTGTGCAATCCGCGCTGACTTACAAAAATTCAGAAGTGCCGGCCCAGGGGCCACGACAGTGCATGAGGCCAATGTACAGGAGCACAAAGGGTGGACAATGTGTTTCTTGGGACAGTGTTAGTTTTTTGTGACACGCAGCATTTAGCATGCAACAAAAAAGTTGCATTTCGGTCTCATCTTAGCAGAGCACCTTCCACCACATGTTTGGTATATATTTTTCCAACAACAGCTGTCTTCTTTTTGCCAGGGTTAGGGTTTAGTTCCGCGACGGATGTGCCGAATCACATTCAGGATATGAGTTCAAAGGAAACATTTTGTATTTACAATAATGTGCATAGAGAATGAGAAATGTTATGATGAGGATCTGTTTCTTCTCAGGAGCTAGGAATTATCTTGTCTAAAGAAGGAGAGGTACATTATTCAGTGATCAGGAAAGTTGATTGAATTAAATATCAAAAGGGAGTGGTTTCCTGTAACTTGAGGCTGAGAAGTGCGTGGGAGGAGTGAATCAGGCTCTGGTGTGAAGGAAAGGTGGCTCGTTTGGAGTCCAGAGGTGAGAATGGAGTTTAATGGTGAGCTTGATGGTGGAGATCTGGAGACATAACCTGAACCTGAACTTGGAGCACAGAAGGCTTTAGGCGACTTGACCACAAGAGGAAAAAAACATAAATTTCAACTAGAGAAACTCGAAAAGCAACAAGAAACGCAGAGCTGGTTAGAGATTACCAGCCAGGTTAATCATCCGGCAGAAAGGGAGTGTGGTGGCCATTTACGTAATGTTTGCAACTTGTAATTTCTACTAATTTAGTTTTCTATTTTGGGAAGTTTAGAATTTATTTAAGTTAAGTTTAAATCCACAATCTGTAGTTAATTTGTATATTTGAATTGATTAGATTATGTTGTAATTGGTTAGACCCTCCCATTAATTTGAGTAATTAAAACACACCGGGTGCTGAGTGGAGCGATTGTTTGGCAAATGTTTGGTGTGTGGATCGGAGGTTTTTTGTAAATTATTTTTTTACCACTTTCACTTTTCACTTTTCATTTTTTTGTACTTGAAACGTCATATTAAGTTTACTTTCATTTTTGACTAAGTTGTAGGACATTTTTGGTAATTATTTTGTCGCTATTTTTACAAGAAATAAAGAATATATTTTTTCAAACAAATTAAGTCGGAAGTGTGTTCAAATCAAAAACCACCTGTTAACACCCACCGCCTTAGTTGAAATATTGTTTTTTGGAATTGAGAAGGGCCGCGACAGGGAGGTTTTGAAGATCCTTAAATCCTAAGAACACTGTTGAGACTGATGAAAAGCATTGATCTCTAGCCAAGATCCTTTCATACTCGTCCAGAAAACATGATCGCACCTAAATCCCGCCACTTTTTAATATTCCATAAAGGCCAAATTTGGGGGTGAATAAAAATCCATCCCGCCAACAGATTCTC